AGATGTGCAACCGCTTTTTTGCTGCTGGATCTGAAAAGAAAGTGGGGCTAATTAGGGCTTGGTGGTGTAACAACCCCCCCACCCCCGGTTCCCCTTCCAGGGTCCTCGTAGGAGGAGAGCTGTGCTAGTCTTTGTGTCTGAAGTCTGGGTCAAAGACTTTGGAAGCAGAAATCAGGAGGAGGGGGGAGCCCCTTTTCCAACTAACCAATTTTAGGCAGAGGCTTTTGGGAGCTGCAGATCACTTTATCCGAGGGATGGAGGGGCTGGACTGGGGGAGGATTCAGATTCGGTTTTTAATCTGTCATCTGTCATGGAACCTGCCCCTACAATACATAGTTGCCCTTCTCCCCCTCCCCCCCCCGCTTGTCCCAATCTAAACCCGAGATCAGCCTCGCCCCTCCGCGCATCCGATGCCTTTTAGCTACTTTGGGTGGTGGGAAAAGGGGCTCTCCCACGCTCTCTGCTGCGGGGCTGCAGAGGAGTCAAGCTCGTCATCTTGCCTCGCTAAGGATTAGGTGGGGGGCTGCATTCACACCGGTGTCAGGCTTAGCAGGGGGCAATTCCTCCAGGAGGGCAGCCCTACCTTGGGTGGAGGTGGACACGCAAAGCAGAGTCAGCAGGAGGCAGCCAGTGAGGGGCCGGGCATCTGGAAAGAGAAGAGGGAGATCAGTGGGGCCTGCCGCTGCCACCTCTGAGCTTCTTCCCAGGAGACCCTTCCCCAGGAGGCATGGAGGGGGTTGTGCTGCAAGCAATCTGCTGCCTTGGACCCACAGAAGTGTTTGTGATGGCTTATCCAAAGGGGGCGATGAAGCGGGAGCCCCCCAACAAGAAGAGAAGGGAAGATTGGAGCCAGCCTGGTTTTAGAGCCCTAAAAATCTCTGCCCTAGCTCCTCTTGGTGGGTCTCAGGCTGCTGACCCCTCCCAGGGTGGGAAGGCCCCTGCGGCCAGCCTGGGGTCAGAAATCAAGCATGCTATGTGAGAGGCCGGAAACCTCCAGAGTCAGGGCCCACAGAGCATGCACAGAGTCCCTTTCCCTCTCCTCTGAGTAGGAAGGCAGGAGAATCTGTCCTTACGTAGATTCAGCTGCAGCTCTGCTCCCTTTACAGGGAAGTAAGTCTCGGGGAGCTCCCATGGGGAGGATTCCACCCTCTGCCCATCAAAATGCAATGCCTACAGCAGTGTTTCTCAGCCTTGGCAGCTGGAAGATGTGTGGACTTCAACTCCCAGAATTCTCCAGCCAGCATGGGTGGACTTCAACTTCAACATGCTGGCTGGGGAATTCTGGGAGTTGAAGTTCACACATCTTCAAGCTGCCAAGGTTGAGAGACGCTGATCTACAGGGGGGAAAGGCTGTCTAGCCTCTTAGCCAATTCTTGCAATATCTGCTGTGCTCCTGGTTGCCTCTCTTTTTGCAGACCAGGCCTGCCTTGCTTGCAGCCCCTGCCCTCTGGAACAGCATCTTCCCTCCAAGAGGGAGGCATCTGGTCCCTACCCTGGCTGTGTTTAAGGGAATCCTGAAAGCGTGGCTCTTCCCCCAAGCCCTGGGTCGGGGGGGCGGGGGGGGGGGGCCTGTGTCTTTTGTACTTTTCAAAGGGCTGCTTGTCTTCCAGACCGGCGTTCCCCAATCTTGGCAACTTTCAGATGTGCGGACTTCAACTCCCAGAATCCCCAGCAATGGCCATGATGGCTGGGCAATTCTGGATACCAAAAGTTACAAGGTTGGGAAACATTTTTCTGGATGCTTGGATTTTTAGGTGTATTCTAGGATTGCTTGTAACTTTACACCACCCACAGTTATTTAGAGTTGGGTGGCCTTATAAAAGTACTAAAATAATACATACATAAAATAATAAAATCCCTGGTCAAGCCCCACCGGATACCCATTTCTCTTTTCCAAAAGAGATGACAAAAAGCTAAGAAGGAAACAGAAAGACCAGAACACCTCCTCGCCAGCAGCCAACACCCAGATAAGCAGGGATTAACACCAGACAAACAAACAAGCAGAAAACAACACCCTAACCAAGGGACTGCCAAGGAGGAAACCCCCCCTCGCCCCCACCAACCCTGGCAGGGCAAGCGACTGTATATAAACAGGGGGCAAACCCCACACTCGCTCTCCTCATGATGTTACCTAGAGAGGTAATGAAATGTCTGCAGGCAAACAGCCAGGCCCAGAGGGCACCACGGACTCCACGCTATCAGATGCCCTTCGAAGTTTTTCCAGGGCAGCTTGGATAACAGTTTAATTCAAGAAGGGGACAGTAACTGAATTCAACATAGAACTGAATTAATTAGAACACATAACGCATAAACAATAGAAGCATAGTAGCTAGTAGATATGCATCTTAAAAATAATTGTGGCAAACACATTTAAAATAATTGACTGATTACTGTGCTGAGCGTATTTCTGGCCTGTCTGTCTATCTGGACTCTTAAAGCGGCTTAACCGCAGTAAAAAAATGGATGGTATAGAACAGAACTAAATTAATATAATAAGCCAACCTTAAAACGACGGAAACAATTTAAAGCTTGTGGAAAGAGGATTTATCCTAATAACTTAGTATGGGAAGACACCTGGCCAAATTTAAAAAGAGCAGGCTTTGTGCCAGAGAGAGGGGCTGCCTGGGCGGGACCGAGGCCAGACCTCCCCGCCCCTCCATCCCGGCCCCTTGGCAGGCATCCGACCCCAAACGCGCAGCGCGGCAGC